AATAACAACGACAATAACAACAACAACAACAACAGACAACAACAACAACAACAATAACAACAACAACAACAACAACAACAACAACAACAACAGCAACAACAACAACAACAGCAAGTAGCAGCAACAGCAACAGGAAAAGATTTCTTATGAAGTTGTCACAGTTGAAATCGTTTTAATCAACAAACATGAAATATTTTGATGGAATATGTTATTTTAAAGAAAAAGTGAAAAGAGAAGATATTAGATATTAGGGATTAATTGTGGAAGAGATTGAAAACAGACAAACATTTGAGATATGTCAGGTGGCCTAATCTCATTCAGTACATATGGCCCAAATCAAGATTTATGATTCAAATCGTAAGTTGCAACTTGTCAATCTTTCAAAAGCAATATATACCTTTACTTCCTATACAAATGTTGACAGAGAGAGCATATAGAATATATATATGTATGTCTGTCTGTCTATCTGTGTGTATCAGTATGTGTCTGTGTGTGTGGGTGTATGTTATTAATTTCAAATAAATGTATTTTACAAGAGATGTGATGAAATCATTGCATATTTTTTTTCACCCATATTTATCAGTTGTTATCATCATTTATCAATAACTGTATAAATTCATCCAAAATCCATTATATGGTTATTCTCAGTGAGATTAAATCAATAGCATTCACATGCAAAATGCTAACATTATAGCCATTGGCTAAAGCATATACAAATGTCATAATGATAGAAAAAAAAAGAAAGAAAGAAGTTTAAGATTTAGGTTGTAATTAAAACATAATGAAGATATTATATCAATCTTCTATTAAGTTTATTTCACAGATAAACTCTTTGTTGTGACAAATGTTATAATCTTTTAATAGCATACTTGGTATATTTAATAAATTCACAAGCAACTTTTTTTTTTCCAAATAAAATGATTAAATAGAAACATTTCCAAAAGATGTTTATTAACATTTATTTCACAGATCATTCATATCTTCACTTCTCATAGCAGATATCTCAGGAAAATTTAAGCATTCCCTTTGGAATTTAAATATCGCAGAGAGTTTCAAATTTAATATTTAAGAATCAGGAATGCTCTGATTCTATGTCAACAAGAAATCTAAGGATAAAGTTGAATCCCAATCCAAAATAAAATGATGAGTTTAGGCATAAAGTTGTTTTAATTTATGTATAAATGTTTGTATATATTTTTTCCATTTGTATTGCAAGCAGTCATAAATATGAATAATTTTAAATTTCCCTTTCTCAATAAATCAACACATTTCATCTTTAGCTTATCACTATGATCAAAAATCATCCTTACATACAAATTTTGAAGTATAATTTTTTCCAACAATTGCTAATTTATAATATTGTATATAAATGAATACAATTCAGCTTATATCTTCTTTAAAACCTAAAAAGAAAAAAGAAAAACTCTTATTCGCAAAGCATGGAAATTCTTTTTATAGTTTTCTCGAACGATCAGTCATCATTGTGAAATTATCAGGTAAGTGTAGAATCTACGAAAGCACTATTAATCCTTATCAAAACCCATGGATACAGTAATTCAAGTTGTGAAGTAATTTTCAAATTAATATTAGTAATAAACGAACCAGTAGTAGTATTCAAGAATTATCCAACGAATCTCGTTTTGACTTTCATACTGATTGAATTCAAATAGACTCCAAGGAGATACCTTTTACTGAGTATGACTTAGTCTTTCAACGAATCGCTGATACTTCAGTAATATGTTAGATCATCTGAATTGAATCAATCATATGAATCTGAAATTAATCCCTCCCAAAGCTGCATATTTTATTATCATCAATATCGTCCTGCTTGACCTTTGCCATTTCCAAATTGAACATGAATTAGGTGTACATTAATGTACATAGACCATCAAAATCTCATTCCTAGGTAATCCGTCTGTTACAAAGAATGATAACTTCAGTTTGTTTGGTGTACGAATCATATTTAGAAGTAGAAATTAATAAATACTGATTATCAGTCATATCAAAAGGAAGATTATTTGTGTACTCCCTTATACCATTTTTATAACTACAAAGGTTAAATTGAAGATGATCATGGTTCTGGAAAAAAAATATCAGTACAGAAGCAAACGTAAATGAAATAGTATAGCATATAGCTTTTTGATTTAACATATTTAATCTTTCACATAGATTTGACCTTTGCTAACAATAGAATTTAATGCTTTTCATTTCTTTACTTGCTTGAAAAAATAATTGTTTCCAAATTTTTTATCAGTGGCACTTCTTTTTTCGCTTCTTGGTAGCAATGGATAAATCGATTAGGCCTAGATTGTATAATTTGCCTTGATATTGTTTCGGTACATCAAAACGATCAGTTATTTCGCATCTCTACAATTAAAATTAGAATTAGAATGGAACAAAGAGTTCCAAAATTATAAGTTGTGTAAAATTTCGAATTTTATACATTAAATTATCAATAACATATGATATTTGAGAGGCTAAAGATCATGTTGGGTGAATGATAAAATGTTATAACTTTTAAATCTTACCACGTCATGAACTCCGTTCTGGCAGAAGTGATATACTTTTAAATAAGGCTCAATATTTCGTATTTCTCTTGCTTGGCCAAATACCTTGAATTGGCCAGAGCTGTTCGTATATGTTGTATTCAATTTGTCATCCGGACCCACTGCAAAACAAAATTTTTAAAAATACTTGTTGAAAAAAGAAAGTTTTTATCTTTCTGATGAGAGAAAGTTTTTATCTTTCTGATGAAATCAAAAACTAACCGGTGTCTGCTTCCCAAAGTTCAACTTTCACGTTAGAATAGTAATTTCGACCACAATTTAATTCACCTATTACTGTGACATTTTTCATTCGCCCAATTAAACCGTATGCAATGGATGAAATGGTTAGTAGTAATAAAAGTTGAGAATGAAGCATTATTAATTATTGAATACCTGAAATTAATTATCAAAAAGTAAATATGAGATTAGATTCATATCCTAAATTGATTTTATTTCCTGAGATAATATCGATCCATCCTGGTAATGAACAGTGAAGGATTAATGCTAAAGAAGTTAGGAATGTTAAGAGTAAAGTGAAAAGAAATAGAAGATGTTTGGAAGAGATTCATCACAAAAAGCGCAAATGTACACACATCTATCTATCTGCCTTAATCATTTTTACACTGATAATGTCAAGGTATGCGACCAATTAACCGATTCAGTGCAAAATAATTTACTGGTTTGTTTCATTCCAGATGAAATAATTTATTGACCTTACTTCAAAAATGACTGTACATTGGTTCAATTGGCTGATGATGATTCATGCATTTCTTTTGAATACTCATTTAATGACAGGAGCACTTTGACATAAAATGACAATGATATAAAATTTGATTATGTTGAAACTCATATGAAGTCATTTCCCATTTTTCATTTAGCTCTTATTGAAAGCACATCCATTTAAACTTAGCGCATAAAATCAGATGGACATTAATCAGGTGAAACATTTTGCAGAAAATACAAAAGATCAATTTTTAAACATAATTATCTAAGAATGGTCATCATTATCATCATTGATCAGCTATTTTTATCATGAATATTGAATGCTAACGAAGAGGTAAGTGCCATTTTAAAATTCATCACCTTGCTGAGACTCCTTTTCTTTTTTTTTTTTTTAAACAACAAACTTCGCTATCATTGAACTTTAGTTGCTAAGAGAAAATTGAAATTGTAAAGAAAGCATTGCTATTAGGCAAATAATTAAAAATGAAAAGCATTGCTTACAAATTTTTGAGCATTTTGCTACACAACTGTTGAAAAACATAAAATGATTTGTTGCAGCAAGCATGATGACTAAGACTCTTCAACAGCTGACACCATTTTAAATTACAATCAAGTGCAAAATTTGATTTTAAATCTAAAACAAACTGCTCTTTTTGCTCACCATACAAACCGAAACTAAAGGAACTGTGTTTTTGTCTCAAATACTTCTTCAGGGACTATTTCTCTTGCAAACATTATCATTAATAGTAGCAATAATATGATAGATTCAATAAGTAGTAGTTTTGATACTGTACACATATATATAAATTTTTTTCTTTTATCCCGCAATAATTCGATAATCATTCAGTGTATCCTGACCATCTTCAACATACCGCAATAGAAAAATCTAACCAATTAATAAGTCTGATTACTCAGCTTCTCATCTCAACTAATTTTTTTTTCCTTTCCAATATTGGGATACCTATGGAAAATGTTAAAATGTTAAAATGAAATGTCTACTCGAGCTATACATGTATGAGATAGAATTTAGTTAGACGAAAAGTATTACTTTCTTCTTTAATTTAGTAAACGACCTGTTAACTCCATTGTCTTCACATCTTACAAATAACAGAGTTAGCATAAAAATTGACTACAACATACTTTGGACTAGACTGAAAGTAAGAGAGGCGAAAAGAAATGTGGTAAATATGAATATTCGTTCCATTCATCAATGCAAATTATAATCCACATCTTTTGACCAAGTAAATCATATGCTTGGTATAATGCTGCAAATTTAAAAGCTTCTTCGAGATATTAAAATGAAAAAATGCCAACCTGCTTTCTTATGATTTCGCAAAATCTATGCAAATCTTTTATTTTGTCTACAAATTCTAGAGAAAATAAACATAAAGATAATCCAAATTTATTGATTTCCAATTTTGAAAGTGCCATTATTTTCGGTGACAATTCGTTTGTTTCTTGTAAGCTTCCTTCAAATCTTGCAATAAATTACGCCCCAATATACTTCCAGCAGTGATTAAACCACTATATAATACACTTGCAACTCCACAAAAAAGAATATCTTGTCCTAAAAGGTTTTATTACGAATTTATCTTTCAAGTCCCATTTTGGAAGTAACAATCAGTAAACACTACTCGACAGGAAGATGATTTTCAGCAATACAGTATATAACCAGTTAAAAAAACCTTGAGGAGGATGGGATGAATAAGCTCATTCGAAAATTCAAAGAAATTGAGAGAATGCAACAGCATCGATAAGTAAACTAAAGCTTCATAAATATCATTGGTTAAGAATTTAAAAGTGTCCATTAAATCGTGCCATACAATTAAATTTCTGATAAATAACATGAATCAACGAACATTAAGAAAAAAGTTATGCAAACTTACCTGAAAGGTAGAGACCAGGCAAATCCGTTTTGCACCGCAGTTCGCTCCAGAATTTCAATTTAAATCGATCAATTTGTTGCGTTAATGAATAGTATTCGCCATGCGCATTTCGCATATAATATTGCTGAGTTAATGGAGTTGAAAATTCAACATATGTTATCTGTAATTCAAAATTTGCATTTATTGATGTTCAACTCAAATTTCTTCCCATCTACAAGGAGATTACAGATAATTCTCGTTACCAACTTCTAGAAATTTGACCGAAAACCCGCAACCCGCAATTCACTAATCCAATTCACCAAACTTTTTCAAGTTCCTTTCTTTTTTTTTGGAGAGGAATTCGAACTTACATGTGGTTCAAGATTTGGGAACAGTGTCAAAAATTGACTTATCATCAATTCACCAATTAAATGTTTCAATTCAGTGTACTCTGCTCGGTTTAATCGTTTTATGGAGTTCTTTTTAGATGTATCCTTAAATTCTTCGAACCAAGCTGGATTTGCTAGTGAAATTAATTGACATGTCGAAGTGCCTGGAAATGTTGCTATTTGTAGAGAAGAGGATAAAATATTCGCAAGAGAAATCTGTTTAAACTCTTACTACCATATACGATTTCAACATTTAATAACTTCCTATCATGATCTTTGCGCACTGCGTTAAAATGTATGAATTAACGGTTTTTCAGTAAATTTCTAACTAGAAGTATTTAAAAATGTCATTAGTTCAATTAATTATACCAGGATTTCGTTCATCCCATGTTGGGTCTTTGGCTGATGGGAAACAAATAAAGATTTGCGGTGGACAACCATATTCTGCTAATTCTGAGGATGACAAACTGGAATTTCAGCAAAATTTTCACTCAAAAAGTATTTAAAATATCGTCAGTTCCATAGTTGAAGTAATACAGACGAAACTGTGTTTTATGTATTAGTTAGCAGGAAATTTTTTTACAAAATTATTTTGAAATAAGCCATAACTCTTCAAAGGTCATGACATATATTTAAAGAAATAAGAAAAAACTCATTGCTCTCCTATTCCATAACGAACTGAACTGTGATGCTGGTACTTAACAACAATTTAACGGTGTTCCCTTCATCATCCGACATGTCCGAACATTACTTACGGCAATTTGTAAGGACTGATTACTTTGAATCATTAAAATAATCAACCTCAAATAATGATTGTATTCATAAGAATTGTTATTCTTGGACCAAAAATAATTATTGGAGGGTAATCCGAGGGTATTTTGTGTTCCAGATAAACCAATATACGCTTGAAATCCACCAAACTGCACGGTCTCCAACGAATTGAGTTGATTAACTATTTTAAACATAACTGAAAAATAGGAGAATTTTCTACTCAACCATCTTAAGACTATTAATGTAATCCTTTCTTTGACCAGTATACTTAATTATTCAAAAAGTTACCTGAATTTTGAGTGATATTTCGAGGTATTAGTTCATTGAATGTCTTGATAATTGGAGCTGTTGAAACAACCAATGATGTTTGAATGAAGTATTTAAAACGGCCATGTTTTACTTTTACCCCTAAAGTTCGAAAATTAAGAAATTTATGAAATAACCACAAGCAGTGCCAATTATCATCGAATACAGAATGGTATAAATTGAAATGCCAAACTTATTTCATACTTGAATATTTTGCAATACAACTTCATGATATTGCAAATTTCTGTTTTTGCACTCACAACGATACGCATCGCATTAGTAAGGAAGCGTCCGTAAAAACGGAATCTTGTACTAGACGTTCTGAAAGAAAAGAAGGCTTCCAAAATAATTTTAAAGTTAACTACCATTAACCTTTCCATTATCAAATACAATTTGTTCCACATCTGCTTGCACAATCACTTTTCCGCCAAATTTTTGAATCGATCGAATGATGCTGGCAACAAGTAGTGCTGCGCCACCGATGGGATAATACCCATTTTCCATAAGAAATAAATGATGTTGAAAGAATGATGCACGATTTGGAGGAACACCTGAAAACTAATTTCAAAGCTAAATTTAGCTCTAAAGAATCAAGATGAATTATATGCCATTTTAATCGTAACTGCAGTAAACATCAAATAATGCTTCTGAAGACCCATCTTTGACACTTCTTTAAGTTGTGAAAAAGATTCCAGAATCTTTGTGCAATTCCCATAGCGGAGTACATTACTTGACAAGTTTTAATTAAATCAAGAAATGCTAAAATGCTAATTAATCGCTCCAAAATGTATCAAATAACTGTTCAATAAATTTTCATAAAAAAGTGCCGGAAGAAATTTATAATACGGTTTATGTAGCTACAAAATGAAGTGAAGAAAAAAATCAAAAAAAATTTTCGGTATAGGAAGATATAGGATTTGTGGCAAGTATATTAAGTAATGTTAACATAAGTATAAGGCACTGGAAGAATTTTTTTTAATATAAAGTACTGAATTAGAAAGTAAGGTAAACAAGCAAAAGAAGTTAAAGTACCAGATGTCTTCAAAAAGTAGTAGAAAGGGTACGATGAATAAAGGATTTGCTCCATTTAGAAACCTACCATAATTGACAAAATAATAACTGATAACAGCTCTCACTTCAGCGCTTAGCCCATAGTCCTTCATAACATCCAACAGATTCAATTCACAATATTTGAATAAATTGGTAAAGAAATTGATAAAACTAAATTTGGAGAGTAAGCGGACGATGAACGATGGTACAAGTTTTGCGCCAATCAACCACCACAAATTAATATTAAGGCATTTCTGAAATTAAAATTGACTTTTGAAACCTGAATCTTTTGAAACTTTTCAACACAATTAGTTTTTACTTGTCGAAAAGAATGGACTCATCTTGTTTACAAAGGGGGTTAACTTCAGTATTTGCATTTATTCAGTCTCCAGAACCAAATTAATCTCCAGAACCAAATTTAGATTAGGAGGTTGTCCAATTCATAAACAAGACCCTCTTCTCTCATCCTTCCCGTCCATTCGCTCCTTTTACCTAAACCAACCAATCGTTGAATCACGATCTTGAAACTCACTAAAACGTAATCAAAATAGCTTTCGATACTATCCGCTTCTTCTGAGAACCACAATTTCAATTGATCACGAAAGTGTTTGCTGTCTCCACTTGTTCGACCATAATACTGTTTTCCAATTATTATCTTCAAAATATGATTCCAATTTTAATCAATCTTAATTAAAAGCCCTAATTAAACAGCAATACTGAAAAGATGAAATATACGGTATCGAATGGTTCTTCCATTTTTTGCCATTGAACTTGTGAATCTGTAATAGCTGAACATATGCGATACAGATCTTTGCCGGGGTACATATTGTGCACATAATGTAAACCTGAAATTTTCATCAAGATGGGAAATTGAAAGGCGAAGGGGAAGAAAAAGTAGCATTACAAGAATTTTTGCAATTTACTCTTCCCTAAGTTGAACCTAGATATCCAATGACTTACGCTACAGAACAAACCCAGGGAAGATTTAAGCAAGAGGAGTGGAAATTTTTGAAAACTGCGTTTAGAATCATGACAAGGGGACAAGATGTAATAGTTAAACAACCATAACCATGATAGATGACTGGTGTAGGATGAATAGATTTTTGACAGATGCCGTCATACCTATAGAGAGCCTAATAACATCTATATCTGATTCAGTTGATTATTTTAGATATTCTCCTCAAAATGCAAGGAAATTTTAAAAAGCGAAACTGACCAACATCGAATTCATATTTATCAAGTTTAAAAGTATGACATGATCCACCAGCCCGATCATGCTGCTCTAGCACAAGCACTTTACGACCCGAAGCTGCTAGTACTTTTGCTACTGTCAATCCTGATAAACCTGATCCAATCACAATTACATCCCACTTTTCATTAGTAATCGATGGATTAAATCTGAAAATAATAATCATTTTTGGACATTTAATGTGATGAAACTGAATCCACAACGTGGTCTGCTCATTATGCTATCAATATAAGAAGTGTCATAGAGTGTGTCACATTGAAACATCCTTCTAATTTAAAAACTCCAATCGGTATCGAAATCCGCTGTGTACAATGTAATTTTTGGATATAAAAAATGTCAAAAACATACCTATTCCTTAGGATACTATGAATTTGATCAGTGGACATTGGAGGATCCACAGATTTACCTGTACAAATCATCTTAAGGAAACAATTGTTCCGAATATCATTATGTTTTAGCATTTTAAATGACACGTAGAGGAAAATAAACATAATTGCAAGGATCATAAGTATTTCTAGAATCATTTCTGAAAAAATTCGGCATAAATTTTTAGAAAATAAGCGCGAAATTACTTCTCCGATCATAATTTCGTAATTATGAAGTTTATGTTTACTACTCGCAGCATATAAAAACTTGTTAGCATTACCTATACCCACTGTGATAGATGTAACTGGCTGACCTCTCAAGCCTGATTAAGTTTTCAACCTAAATGAGAAAACCTTCAGCTCATTCGAAACTTCAAATTTGAAACTTGTTAATGTGAAAGTGATGCAGCTGAACATCATGCATGTAGAACAATCGATTAGGGTTACCGATAATCTGTCACAATACAATGGACTTATTACACTTTGTGTTCGACTAACACACGTCATGTTGCGTTAGTCGACTCAACCAATCTCATTTTGCTTTAATAGGATCCCACTTCATCAGATACCAATTTCTCCAAAAACTATACTCGTAAACAATCAGTCGACTTCATGCCGCCCACCTCCAAACGACATCATTTCCATATGTGGCTAAAAAACGGAAGTTTCACTACCTACAGTGAAACAAACTTCTGTCTATTTTTTCACCCTTATATAAATTTGTCTAGATCACTCCAGCAGATATTCACCCTTCATTTCAGAAAACTACACCAAAACAAGCATTTTGTCAGACAAATTACAGAGCTGAATGAAAGTCGGGACGATGAAATTATCCAAAAGGCAATACGTAAAAAATTTGGTTGCTACTAAAAATAACAATGAAGACAACGCGGCCGTTTAAACCATTCAGTCAATTAAGGGAATTATTTGAAGATGCGTGAGGGAGGAAATGTGATGTACAACGGATTACGAAACATAAGTTTACGCAAAATTCATCAGCAAACAGTCGTATAAAAGACACAATGGAATTAACTATAAAAAAAAAAAAAAAATACGGT